AATAATAAAGATAGGTTTGCAACATAAATAGAGAGATGGGAGGGAATCAATAAACTAGATGTTGTCAATAATAAAGATAGGTTTGCAACATAAATAGGGAGATGAGGGGGAATCAATAAACTTGATGTTGTTAATAATAAAGATAGGTTTGCAATATAAATAGGGAGATGGGAGGGAATCAATAAACTTGATGTTGTAAATAATAAAGATAGGTTTGCAACATAAATAGAGAGATGGGAGGGAATCAATAAACTAGATGTTGTCAATAATAAAGATAGGTTTGCAACATAAATAGAAAGATGAGGGGGAATCAAAAAACTTGATGTTGTTAATAATAAAGATAGGTTTGCAACATAAATAGGGAGATGAGGGGGAATCAATAAACTAGATGTTGTCAACAATAAAGATAGGTTTGCAATATAAATAGGGAGATGGGAGGGAATCAATAAACTTGATGTTGTTAATAATAAAGATAGGTTTGCAATATAAATAGAGAGATGGGAGGAAATCAATAAACTTGATGTTGTAAATAATAAAAATAGGTTTGCACCATAAATAGAGAGATGAGAGGGAATCAAAAAACTAGATGTTGTAAATAATAAAGATAGGTTTGCAACATAAATAGGGAGATGAGAGGGAATCAATAAACTTGATGTTGTTAATAATAAAGATAAGTTTGCAACATAAATAGGGAGATGAGGGGGAATCAATAAACTTGATGTTGTTAATAATAAAGATAGGTTTGCAATATAAATAGAGAGATGGGAGGAAATCAATAAACTTGATGTTGTAAATAATAAAAATAGGTTTGCACCATAAATAGAGAGATGAGAGGGAATCAAAAAACTAGATGTTGTAAATAATAAAGATAGGTTTGCANACTACACATTTGACCTAGATTGTAATTTTCTAACTGCTAATCTTTGCACAAAAATTAGTTTGAAAAGATGTAGAAATTAGAGAATTAGAGTTTACGCAAGTTTTCATTTCCTTTTTGTGCACAAAAAAACACTATTTGACATTATACATTACCAATAATACTCTATGTTTAGTTCTTTCGGAAAAATCTCAACTGTTGTGGAAATCTTAAACAGAGGTTCCAACCCAACAGGTTGTGAAAATGCCAAGTTTACAGGTTCAGGCTCCATACCACCACCACCACAAACATCACCTCCTTCGACTAATCCTCCTGCTGGTGCAAAACCAGGAACTGAGTTTATTAATTGCGAGAAGTCGTTGAACTGCAGATGGCGTGCAGTAAATACGATTTATTTGCGACGCCCTGATTGGATGGAATTGTTGTCTGATTGTCTGATTGTTGTCTCAAACTTTGAATAGGGGAGTCAGGATTTGAGCCAGTGCATGAGCACTTGTTAAGTACAGAGCGTCCCATATGATATTAGATTATCTTCATGCTTTAACACCAAAATACGCACATAATACTCGAAAAATCCTTGTATTTTCTTCAAGAAAATGTTTATATTAAAATTATACATTTTTTAAATTACTTTTTTTTTAAATTTTCTGATTACTCCCTTAAATCTCAATTTAGAGCTATATACGATCTAGCTAATATGATGTGGTAAACCTTGTAGTTGAACCACCGGCATTAGGGAGTTCAGCGATTTCTCTCTAATTTATAAAATCTGGTCCTAGAAGGTCCTATTTCTGCCACTAAACCAGTTCCTATAGAAGTTCCTAGAGATGGAGTTCAGATTTGTGATCAACATGTTTGTTTTAGGATATCTGCTAAACCAATAGGAATGGAAACTGGATTTTTCTGGAAATTGTGTTTATTAATTTACTGAAAAATTTGATTAAAGAACAATGAAAAAGAGCTCAACTTTCTGGCATTTTAACAGACATTTTTTATTGAACAGACAAATTGTTTAAAGAAAGGAAGTTAACATTTTAGCAATCTTATTTAAAGACTTTCTGTGCACTGCACATTTCTTTATTGAAAATCATTTTTGTGGACTGTAGTTTTTCTATTCCTCATTTTTATAAGTCTCACTTTTGTGAAATTTCATGAAAACTAAAATATATTTGATAAACTAAGTTTCTAATTCTAAGATGACCAGACAAAAGCTGGCTTGTAAGTTTTTTTTTCTATTAGGCAACCTGTGTAAAATTTTAATTTAAAGGGACTGTACAGACGTAATTTTGAGCCAACTTCAAGGGGCAAGTCCAATTCACAACGGTACACTCTAAACTATGCTTTCGGTGCGTTCTGACCGAAGATAAAGTAGAGTTTAGTAAAGCGTGGGTACTCTTGAAACCTTTGTCTGACCAAAGATAAATGAGAAATATTTATTTTTCCAGATGCTGCATTAAAAAATATTTTTTTTTTTTTAAAGTGTGTTGCGAGATTATACTCTAAAGGCGGTATGATGAAAATTAAACACAATATCTTCATCATTGTTACTCGCATTAAGGTTTAAAGGTGGAATAGTACATGTCACATGAATATAGGGTTCCTTAAGGTTTAAAGGGGGAATAGTACATGTCACATGAATATAGGGTTCCTTAAGGTTTAAAGGTGGAATAGTACATGTCACATGAATATAGGGTTCCTTAAGGTTTAAAGGGGGAATAGTACATGTCACATGAATATAGGGTTCCTTAAGGTTTAAAGGTGGAATAGTACATGNAGGAAACAAGCTAGGGTAAATGCAAAGATTTGTAATAAGATTGTGATATTTGAATCTTAGATTATTTGGTTTATCAGAATTCTTAGTTTGAAATATCAAAGGTATTCATTCGTCATTTGCATTAGTTGCAATGGGATTAGACAGAAATTGTTTAGTAATACTAATAACAAATACAAGTTATATTTCTTGAAAACGAAAACAGAAATCATTCCAAAGTTTTCTGGTTACCAGTGTATCGTTTTTAGCGTGTAACCTTTTTAATATATGCTATAATATTTTCTAAAAAGGTTTTGCCAAATCAACAAAAGAAAATTGACAAGGAAAACTGAAATTACAAACATTGTAAAAAAAGCCAGGTAAATCTATTTTTTTCTTTTTTAATGATTTCAAATTTTATGAGATTTTTTTCTGTTGCAGATCTTTCTTGAAGAATAAAAAAGCAATGTTCTGGACTCGAATAAGGCATCAACACTATTTTGTTTTTTAAAATGGTTGTAAAAGTAAATTTATGTTAAACGTAAAATTCGGCTTTTTAACATTAGCACTACACTGCACAAATTCATTCTATATGTCAAGCTTTAAATTTGATTTTATAATAATCTAAGTCTTTTGTAATAATTGAATGCGCAGTCTTAAAGGAAATGTATACGTTTTTTAAAGTGACCCTCCATACAAAGTTGGCAACACTTGGTTTACACCAATACTCTTGAAGCCTGAATCTGATCAAAAATGTGGAAGATACCGTTATTTTCTGACTCGAAAAGTGTATATTTCTGGAAGTTTATCCATTGCTTCTTGTAAACAAGAAATGCACCACTCCGGTATGCCGAGTCCATTAGCGCCTGATCCAATCAGGGTTCAGTCATGTGTAATTGTTGTCTATTCTGAACCAATAGAACAAGTATGGCGGTGACATCTATCTTTCTATCTTTCTTATTATCCAATTAGAGATATGAATCCTTCAATCGGCGCTACCAATAAATTAAAATATTTACTTCCACTGAAACTATAATGGCGCGCAATTCACTTTCGCAGAGAAACCGTAATGAAATTGTAAGGTTTTAAATGTACAAAGAAGGACCAAAACTAGTCAAATGGGGACGGTCCCAATGTCCATGTGTTATAGCACCATAGTTTCAGTAGAAGTAAATGTTTCCATTTACTGATAGCGCCTATTGATAGAAAGATAGATGTTATACCGCCATACTATTTCTATTGGTTCAGAATAGACAACAAACTCATGACAGGAGTGATATGGGAACCTCGTATACAATTTAAAGATCAAACAGGGACATGGGGATAACAAATAGTTCATTAGTATGTTTATTCGTAAAATACAACGAACAGTTTAAATAAAGAAATATTAATAGCTAATTCACACTTAATCCCTAAGCTTTCAAGAGCACCGTTGTAAATCGAGCATTGACATCTTTGCATTGAGGGTCACTTGAAATTACCCTTACAGTCCTATTATAATATATCCTTTTTATTTTAATAATTGTGTTTTGATGTTTGTAGACATAAAACTAGTTGTAAAATAATTCTGAAAACGTATAGAGGTGAGCTTTTTATTTTTATAAATCTTTTGTGTACTTTATCATTCATGCTTACTATCTGGTTCATTCCGTTATTACAGTCTTAAAAGTAATTATTTAAATCTGTGATATTAATTTACTTGGTTCCCGAATTTTCTAAAAAATAATACTTCTATAATATTTTTTAAATCTTATTGAGAATAATAATTAACATTATTGTTTTTGTTTATGCTTTGTCAAAAATAGAAATAACTATTGCTATTTTTAAACTGTCTAATGACAAAATTTTTACCAAAAATGTCAAACCACAATTCGGTATTCTTCCATAAAATATATCCTATGCAACCTTTTTTTTTGATGCACACTTTGTTCTTAGATGCAGGGGACTTACTTAGTTCCCAAACTAAAACTTGACCCATTTCTAGCACTAGCTTGGAAACCCAGCACTGACCAGGCTGCTTATCGTTACTCCCGCCGTTTACCCGCACTTGAACGATTTTTCTGCGGAACTGAATTTTCGCTATTGAAGTAGACCCACTCAACTTAGAATCTCAAAACCGAACTTTAAACATTCCCGTGGGTCTCCCGAGTTCCCCAATCAAATGTTTGAGGCAAACCAGTCCAGGGGTCCGTGCAGGAGTTATGATCGGACAAACAAACAAACATACAAACAGAGATTACAACTTTATATATATAGATGACGAGGACAACCATTCCCAATCTTAAATTAAACTGAAATTGAAATAATAAAAGGAGTTAGATTTGGAACTAATTTCCCTTGAGATGAACTAGTCCACTAGTTTATTGTTTTCCCTTTAAAGCCTATATATTTAGGAAACAAGCTAGGGTTTAGTTGGGCCATGTGTAAAAAGCCAAAATGGGTGAGTTGGTATTTTTCTATTCCTTACTGCAAAGATCGTTTTTTTTGTGTACTATTTTGGCTGTTGTTCATATTGGATGAGGCTTTAATGACGATATGCAAAATAGTTGCAAAATGTTACTAAAGTATTGCTCATTTCTTATAATTTAATTAAGTCTTTGCCACCCCCACAACCTTAGGTCATCTAATCCTTATATCTTTAAAACCGGATGGTGTAAACCTCTGATATGTCAAACTTAGATCATTTGGTTTAACAGAATTCATAGTTTAAATAAGGTGTGTGACGGTTGCAAAAATATGGGGATTAGAAAATCTGAGATGATGGAGTGCAATGGCTCAATTTCTATAATACAATTTCTGTGGATTTTGAAATCATGAATCCAAATGTCTACGAAAACTATTGCACAGTATACAACCTCACAAGTGTGTCGACTTTGAAGTGTCGCAATGCTTTGCCTTGGATTTTACACAGACATGAAAATGACTCTTTACGAAATTTCACACTATTCCTGAAACTCTTGTACCCCCCCCCCCATGTACCCTAAATTGAGACTTCATGATTTCAGAAATGTTTTTTCAAACTCTTATTTTCTTTTAGGCGACAGGAAAATTCTTTGCTCTCTGTGATCCTAAATAAACTGAGAAATATCATATCAACATATTTGCTATTGTGTAATTTGTATCAATAAATCTAATTTGTATCAATAAATCTAATTTGTATCAATAAAACTAATTTGTATCAATAAATCTTATTTGTATCAATAAATCTATTTTGTATCAATAAATCTAATTTGTATCAATAAATCTAATTTTGTCAATAAATCTAATTTTTATCAATAAATCTAATTTGTATCAATAAATCTAATTTTTATAAATAAATCTAATTTGTATCAATAAGTCTAATTTGTATCAATAAACCTAATTTGTATCAATACGTCTAATTTATATCAATAAATTTAATTTGTGTCAATAAATCTAATTTGTATCAATAAATCTAATTTGTATCAATAAATCTATTTTGTATCAATAAATCTATTTTGTATCAATAAATCTAATTTGTATCAATAAATCTATTTTGTATCAATAAATCTAATTTTGTCAATAAATCAAATTTGTATCAATAAATCTAATTTGTGTCAATAAATCTAATTTGTATCAATAAATCTAATTTGTATCAATAAATCTAATTTGTATCAATAAATCTATTTTGTATCAATAAATCTAATTTTGTCAATAAATCTAATTTTTATCAATAAATCTAATATTTAGAAATAAATCTAATTTGTATCAATAAGTCTAATTTTTATCAATAAATCTAATTTTTATCAATAAATCTAATATTTAGAAATAAACCTTATTTGTATCAATAAGTCTAATTTATATCAATAAACCTAATTTGTATCAATAAATCTAATTTGTATCAATAAATTTAATTTGTATCAATAAATCTAATTTTGTCAATAAATCTAAGGAAATGAGTCTTTTCCACAAAATCAAAATTGGAGTTTGTGGCAAAGACGCAATTCCTTTTCTTTGCAAAACATCGGATCTGAATGACAATTTTAGTGATTGATTCATAATCTTTTTAATCTTTATCCTTTTATTTACGACTTGCGAATAGCATTTGATTTGATATTTTCATTTAACATTTTTTCATTTTTTAACACCAAGGTTTTTAGTTGTCAGGGTTATTTTAGTATTTTTATACTAAATCTAAGTCAGGGAAAAAAATGTAAAAGAACATTTTGAGTCCACAACTTGAAAAAATGGTAGATCAGGTTTGGAATGTTAAAAAAAAAATAAACACCTTTTAGAAACTAGTTTTTCGAGATGGTTTCACGTTTTTATGTACAGCTAGTTATACAATTCTTATAAAATTTAATACTCGACAGAATTTAAGTTTTTAAATCTCGTATATCTTTATAACCTGATAATCTAGACCTGAATTATGACAAATTGATTTAGCAGAACTCACAGTTAGAAATATCAGACGTCTACAACGTTAGGTTGCAAAGATATAGGGATTTGAAATATGAGTTTGTTGCAAGACATATCAGTTCCTTTATCTTAATCATGTCAAAACAGCAAGACAATGTCGTCTTCAAAATAAACTAATTTAGCTAAGATTACATACTTTCTCTGCAGTCTTTATTGTACCCGTTTAAACACTAAAAAGCATATTGAACCGCACAATTCATTAACCCTGATAAATCAACAATCTTTTTATTTACAGAGTGTTAATACAAGTATGTCTTTTATCTAAAACACATCCACTGACAAAAATTATCAAAGAATAAAAGCGAAAAAAGTATTCCTCAACAGGTAATCAAATAAATATATTTAAGTATTCAGGATTTAGGTAAACATCCTGTTTGCTAAATTTATTCGTTGTTCCGTCCTTCAGAAGGAGGTCAATTAATTAATTCGACATTACTGAGACGACTTTGTTACCTCGTGGCTCCTTTTTCCTTTGGATTTTAAAAACACAAATTTGTCCGATTACATTAGTAGTAACTAAAACATTTTAGTTCTCCCCAATAGCTGATCAATAAAAGGTGTTAAAAACATAAAGTAATTTAATTTAGTTTAATGCAATTTACTTTAGTTTAACGTATTTTACTTTAGTTTAATGCAATTTACTTTAGTTTAATGCAATTTACTTTAGTCTAACGCAATGTACTTTAGTTTAACGCAATTTACTTTAGTTTAACGCAATTTACTTTAGTTTAATGCAATTTACTTTAGTTTAACGCAATGTACTTTAGTTTAAAATGCCAAACTTTAAGTCTTAAGCAATTTACTTTAATTTAACGCAATTCACTTTAGTTTAACGCAATTTTCTTTAGTTTAACGCAATTTGCTTTAGTTTAACGCAATTTGCTTTATTTTAACGCAATTTACTTTAGTTTAACGCAATTTACTTTAGTTTAACGCAATTTACTTTAGTTTAAAATGCCAAACTTTAAGTTTTAAGCAATTTACTTTAATTTAACGCAATTCACTTTAGTTTAACGCAATTTTCTTTAGTTTAACTCAATTTGCTTTAGTTTAACGCAATTTGCTTTAGTTTAACGCAATTTACTTTAGTTTAACGCAATTTACTTTAGTTTAACGCAATTTACTTTAGGTTAATGCAATTTACTTTATTTTAACGCAATTTCCTTTAGTTTAACGCAATTTATCTTAGTTTAAAATGCCAAACTTTAAGTTTTAAGCAAGCAAAATTTAATAAAATACAGTTTTGAAATCTTGTAAGTTATATTTAATAAACGATTTAAAAACGAACCAAAACAATTAAAAACCCCAAATGAAAGATAAAAACTCCTAGCGGAATTCTACTCTTTTTTCCATTAATTGATATCCATGTTTACTTACTTACAATTTATTCATTATAAATTGCTCTTTTTTCTGTATAGTTTTAACATTGAGCAAATTCTGCGAATATGAACATAACAATTAGCATCTACAATTATATTCTTCATATTTGATACATTTACGCGATTGCATGCCACCAACTCGAAAATTGGCATGCTAAATACCGATTGTTAAATCTAACCCATATCTATTTGAAAAAACTAATTTGGCATTCAATTCATTTTTTTAATCATTTCAATATTTCAGTATATTTGATAATTTGCTTACTCTGATCACATTCACTTATAACATGATTTTACAAAAATATTTTAATAAGCATGTTTCACGAAGAAATAGGTAGAGCTAAGTATGTTTCACGTAGAACTAGGCAGAGCTCAGTATGCTTTACTCAGAACTAGAGCTAATTATTTTTCACGTAGAACTAGATAGAGCTAATTATGTTTTACGTATAACTTGATGGAGTAAAGTATGTTTCACGTAGATCTTAGTTAGTGTCAAGTATGTTTCACATATAATCCTGTAGAGTTCAGTATGTTTCACGAAAAATCCTGTAGAGTTCAGTATGTTTTAAGTAGAATCCTGTAGAGTTCAGTATGTTTCACGTAGAATCCTGTAGAGTTCAGTATTTTTTACGTAGAATCCTGTGGAGTTCAGTATGTTTCAAGTAGAATCCTGTAGAGTTCAGTATGTTTCATGTATATTTAGGTAGAGCTAAGGATGTTTTAGTTAGATCTAGGTGGAGTTCAGCATGTTTCACGTAGAACTAGATAGAGTCATAGGTATGTTTCCTCAGAACAAGGTAGACTTATGTATCTTTCAAGTAGAAGTAGATAGAGTTAGGTATGTTTCACGCAGAACTAGATAGAGTCAGGTATGTTTCCCTAAGAACTATATGTAGAGTTAAGTATCTTTCACGTAGAAGTAGATAGAGTTAGGTATGTTTTCATTATCCATAATACAAATAGTATTTTATAATAAAATATTATTTTAATGGAAAAAACAAAATCACTTATCATCATATGTTTCCCTGGCTTGTCTTTTTTTACCAATTTGCCTGAAAATACATCGACCAAATTAACATCCTGTTACCAAATTAACATCCTGTTACCAAATTAACATTCTGTTACCAAATTAACATTCTGTTATCAAATTAACATCCTGTTATCAAATTAACATCCTATTATCAAATTAACATCCTGTTATCAAATTAACATCCTATTATCAAATTAACATCATGTTATCAAATTAACATCCTATTATCAAATTAACATCCTGTTATCAAATTAACATCCTATTATCAAATTAACATCCTGCTACCAAATTAACATCCTGTTATCAAATTAACATCCTGTTACCAAATTAACATTCTGTTACCAAATCAACATCCTGTTACCAAATTAACATTCTGTTATCAAATTAACATCCTGTTACCAAATTAACATCCTGTTACCAAATTAACATCCTGTTACCAAATTAACATCCTGTTATCAAATTAACATTCTGTTACCAAATCAACATCCTGTTACCAAATTAACATTCTGTTATCAAATTAACATTCTGTTATCAAATTAACATCCTGTTATCAAATTAACATTCTGTTATCAAATTAACATCCTGTTATCAAATTAACATCCTGTTATCAAATTAACATCCTGTTATCAAATTAACATCCTGTTATCAAATTAACATCCTGTTATTAAATTAACATCCTGTTATCAAATTAACATCCTGTTATCAAATTAACATCCTGTTACTAAATTAACATCCTGTTATCAAATTAACATCCTGTTACCAAATTAACATCCTGTTATTAAATCAACATCCTGTTACTAAATTAACATCCTGTTATCAAATTAACATCCTGTTACCAAATTAACATTCTGCTACCTAATCAACATCCTGCTACTAAATCATCATTCTGCTACCTAATTAACATTCTGCTACCTAATCAACATCCTGCTACCTAATCAACATCCTGCTTCCTAATCAACATCCTGCTACCTCATCAACATACTGCTACCAAATTACCATCCTGCTACCAAATTAACATTCTGCTACCTAATCAACATCCTGCTACTAAATCATCATTCTGCTACCTAATCAACATCCTGCTACCTAATCAACATCCTGCTACCTAATCAATATCCTGCTACCTAATCAACATCCTGCTACCTAATCAACATCTATTTGAAAA